CGGTCTAGTTTTTCGTAAAATACATCTTTCATTTCGTCAGTAACAGTCCATGGAAATACCAATTTGGTTTTTACGAGCACGTGCATTTCACGAATAAAGGGTGCATATTTGAGTAATTTCTGCACCCGACGTATATAGATTACGGAAATCCCATCAAAGGATATTTCTGCATAAAATTCTCATCAAAATTTTAAAATAGTAAATTGTTTTGACACAAACAAATGACTCGGACATGTAACTAATTTCCACGGATTATCCGTTTTTGTATTTTTAACCGACTTAAAAAAAAGGAGGAACTCAATTCCATTGTATTTTTTTGTGTGTCTTAAGCGATTACTCCGACATTTATGTATATTTGTTTATTTGTATGTATATTTGTTTTTAAAACAAACCAACGTTTCGGGCCCTTTGCAGGTCCCATGGTCACGGTTGGTCATACGCGATTTAAATCCGGAAAAATAGTTTCATTTCCTATTATATTATATATTATAACCTATCTGCAATACCAACGGAAAATAAAAAAAGTTGAAATTGTTTTTAGATGGTCTTATTTGTACTCTGTTATACCCTGATTCACGGTAAATTATATACTTACTAAACAAGCAGAAAAAATTAGACAATTCTGTGCACGAAACGTAAAGCCTATTTTCATGTGACATGAAACCATGAGAACTGGAATTTTATTTCCTTGTCATTCCTTTCATGTCATAGTATAAAAATTCCACTACATATCCAATTTAAACACGTTTTATGGCTTACCAAGAGGGTTAATATGGATCAATAATCATATGGGATAGTTTTTATATCTGATCACACGAAGTAACATGACGAAGTAGGCATGCTCAAGAAAAATCAAACTCTAAACTATAATTGATAGATTGCACATTGTTTGCGCCATTTCTGAGCTACTTTATTATATACCCGTTCGTGAATTATTTACAATAATAAACATAGTAGTATTTGATAATTATTATCTCAAAATTACGAGAATTGGCTTAGAAACAAAAGTTATTTACAAATTACACGAAAGGGGTCAAAAGTTACGAAAAACGAAGGAAATGTAACCATCTGATGACACTGCTCTACATGCTGAATAAACACTACAATATTAATTGTAACTTACTGCTTCTCCAGGATTCTCTTACGGTACTCATTTTATAAGTAAATTAAACCATAATATCATATGTTATAATTCCGGTGCTGTAATTATTATAATTCTCAAATAAAGGTCATTTAAACCACACTAATAACAGCGTCCTATCGAAATCGTGCGTTACGAGTTAGTTAAGCACATTTATCATTTAGTCATACTGTTCTGGTGATGCACAGATGTTTTCTGAACGAGACGTTTGTTCTGTGTATTTTATAAATTGTGAAAGGTGACGAAGAAATGTGTACAAAGTACTTACAAAGAGTGCTATGAAGTATATTTTATCGGTTAGTTCTTTCACGGAACGCAATTAATATATTTTTTATAATATATTGTGACGGGACAAACTAGTAGGTACCTTACTGCGTCTGGTGGTAAGTGATCAATCCATAACAGTGCCACTCAAAGCTGTGTTTTTACGGTTACACATGGTGACTTTTATCAGTGATGTAAACGCGCGTTCGTGAAACGAGCGATTGCATCGATACAAACGCGCGATATCATCGATGCAAACGCACAACTGCATCGTTGGAACGCGCAAGTGCTACGATGTAGTCGCTTGTTTTGAATGTTTTTGTGCTCATGCAAATTGTTTTGTTTTTTGTAAGTTCTAAAGTGAAATAAATAAATAAATTCATTATAAACGTGTATCGCGTTTGCACCGCGTTAGCATCGCTATTGCAACGCGTTTGTATCGCTGCTTAAGTCGGGTGTGTGTGTAAAGGTAGACAGTTAGCGACTGCATCGCGACTTTTTTTTATTATAGAAAGATAAGTGCGCATTTGACGTCCATTTCACCTAATGGAAAGTGATGATGAGGTTTACAATTTAGCATCACCTAAATAATGCCTATTCACTCTCGCCTTGAAAAGGTCCAAGTTATAACGTTCAAGGAACAAGTCTGCAGGCAGGGAATTCCACTCAATAACCGTTCGCCACGCAAATGTGTAAGCGTAACGCTTCGTGCGAATCTTTGGAATATTCTTTTTTTATAATATCAAGAGACGGGACGATCAAGTCGTGCGTCTGATGGTAAGCTACACGCCTGTCCATAACAGTTGCAGTGCCACTCAGAGCTTCAAATCGCAAAGATCTGAGGGGCACTGACACTGCGCCCTGAGACATAAGTTGACAAGACTCATGTGCCTGTAATTTTACCAGCGCCCTTACCCTTCAAAACCGGAACTCAGTAATGCTAACATTACTGTTTGGCGGCAGAAATAGGTAAGATGGCAGTATTTCCCTGGACGATCTCTTTCAGGAGGAGCTCTACAGCTTACAAAAATTTATATTTATATTATTCGCAACACAGGGGTGGAACCCAAGCCTACGTCAAACCCCGTGATGGGAAGGGGAAGGCGGAATTAAATCGTGTAATTCCATCACATACTCTCCATGATATACCCTGTAGAATCGCTGCAGACGCGTTACTAAAAGTCGATGTGTGTAATTACAGACTCTTAATGTTCCAAGTAACAAAGATCGGTAAAGCTTTTTGCTATTTCTAACATTTTTAGTACCTACTCTTACTTCTATTAATCCCGTAGAGACTTTTGATCCTTACCAGAAACAGGATCGATTGGCATGAAAAAAAGCTTTTTCGAAATCTGTGAATTCCAATTCAAATGACTTCAAAATTCATAGGCAGTCTTCTAAGACTGTTTTCCTGTAGGTGACAGTTATGATAACTGCCATTACTGACCCGTCTCGTATTTCCTCCCTGTATACTACCTAATCTAGACAGGAGTTAGATATTCATGTCACACCCTTTCTCTGACATTTTTAGTTCAGACTGACCGATGGCCGCCCTACCACAGTAAAGTTTAATAAAACACATTTTCCCGCCTCTATAAAGGAAAGTATCTCAATGGCGTGAAAACTACTTCCTACATAAATTACATGCGTACCGAATCAGGACGAAGAATCATATTTTAACAAATTCGTAAAGGAGGTAACTGAACAGAAAGCATTCCTATCCTGTAGGCTGTAGAGTAATTATAATAATACGAACATTGCCCTCGGGTGATACGCCCAGTGCCCTAATTTTACTATTCAAAAAAGTAGACACGCACGCAAGTGCTCTGAAATGTGTGGTACAAGATATAAGCTGAAGATTGAGCTTTGTTTAAAAGCAATTAAACTATTTTTTAACCAACTTCAATTAAAGGAGAAGGTTCGCAATTCCATTGCTTTTTTTGTGTATGTTACACGATTGCTCCGGCATTTATAAAGCGATTTTGATGTTTCTTTTATGTTGGAAAGAGGATGGCTACCTCAGTATTAGGCCCGTTTAAATTTGAAGAACATATTCTACCTCTAAGAGTAGCAAATTAGGGGATAAACCAGGTTTATTGGATTTCAACCCCTTTCCAAGCCGTTGCCATGGTTCCTGTAGGTAAAGTAATGAACCCTGCGCGCGTCAGGCGCGCGTTTCAGTGTGACAGGGCTCATATCTGTAAGTGACAAAATTGTTTTTTGAAATAATCATAAAAACCATAACCCCGTTTTCAGAATATTTAAATTATTCAATGATATTTATTATTATATTAAAAGAGAATTTTGTTCACTATTTTTTGCTATATAAAATGGTTGTTTGACCATTTGTCACTGAGCCGCGTTTTTGTTAGTGGACGGCAGATATAAACTCGTACACTAAGCTCGTACATTACAAAATTCCAGCGCCCGGAACGCTTCCGCCTCTGTGTCCAGAGCATAAATTTATACAAATTATTAAAATAAATAATGATATACATACAACATATTTCATTGTAATATGTTATTTCGTATTATAAATATAGGTTATGTTCTCGTCACGTTCGCTATTTTCTATACGTCACACCACGATTTTATAAATTGAAAGAGCAACAGAACAACAAAGAAAATATCCAAGAACGAAATATCAGAATATTTAATCGTCATAAAGCGAAAGTGACTGATTTCACTGGAGTGTGCCGACTTTTATTATTTATACAGCCGGAAATGAACTTTGGAATTTTAAATAAAAGAAATATTACACCATGTTGTTGTTACTATCAGCAAATTCGAAGCGTTACCTACCTCCTTGAGGGTTGGGACAATGGTCAGATCGGCAGCACGTTTTTCTCAATCAATTGGGTATAAATTCGTATTCATTTCGAATCCAAGAGTATACAAATCTAAAAAAAACTAGAACCCACTTCGAATTTCGAATCCAGGAAAATACGAATATCGCTTGTACACCTAGAGATAGAATGACCCCTGATGACATTTCGAGCCGTCATTTCTCAGATTCGGAACGAATCCAAATCGGAAGCAGTGCGCAAATGCGTTGAAGGCATAACGATTTCCCGCGTAAAAAATTCAGAAAATTGTTAGAACAAAAATTTAAAGATCTGGCAGTTACGGCTAATAATTGGTTTTGATCTGTCCCGAAAGACGAAAATTTTTAAATTGTTTTGTTATTTGCTCGGCTCGATACTGTTCCAATTTCAAAAAATGCTCTTGTTATATGGTTCCTTATTAATCGCAGTTTACATGTAATAATACCGAAGTTTTAATCTAAGAGTGATTACACACGGTGATTTTTAGCAACAATGCAAACACGAGACTGCATCGATACAAACGCGCGATTGCATCGATGCAGATGCGCGTGTGCATTGATGCTTGACGAAAGGTAGACGATAAACGACTGCCTCGCTACTGCATCGCGTGTGCATATCGTCGCTAAAAGTTGGCATGTGTAACCGCTCTAAATGTTTAATTATTAACTTGTAATTATGTTTGTTTAACCATTAGTTTAATGATGCTGAAAAATCAACCAATCATGAAATATTCTTCCAAAGTTCAGTTAAGAAATTGTGTTTTATTTCAGAGGGAATGCATCTCCGTCCACATCGGCCAAGCCGGCGTCCAAATCGGCAATGCTTGCTGGGAGCTCTACTGCCTCGAGCATGGCATCCAACCTGATGGGCAGATGCCATCAGATAAGACCTTGGGCGGCGGAGACGATTCGTTTAATACCTTCTTCAGTGAGACTGGTGCTGGCAAGCATGTTCCCAGAGCAGTGTTTGTGGATTTGGAGCCAACTGTTGTCGGTAAGTGGGTTCTAATAACTTCTTTATAAACTGCGGTATTATTAACATATTTGTTTGTCTTCTACTCGCCTTTGTTAAAGAGAATAATAACAAAATTATGAACGAATATTAAAAAAAAAGTAATATTATTTTATTGAATATCATGATGTTTTTGCCACTATGATATTAATATTATTTTTGTGAAAATAGTGTCTGTAGTTCTAGTTTTTCTAGTTCTCAGTTAAATAGAACTGTTGCCCCGGTGAGGCATCAGATTCTGGTTCAAGTCCGGTCAGGTCGAAGGAATTTTTCATTGTGAACTCCGATCTTTGTATTAATAATAATATATAGTTAATACTTATTCAGATTGGCAGATGTTAGTATGTATTTTGAAGAAGTGCAGGTTTTATCACAATGTTTTCCTTCATCGAAAAGCTCATGATAAATTTCAAATTAAATATCGCACATAAATTCCAAGAAACTCAGAGGTGCGAGCTCGGATTCTCACCCATGACCCTTTGCTTGAGAGGCAGTAGGTAGCTCAACTAACCATTAAGCTACCACGGTTTTGCTTCCTTCCCTCAAGATATGATACGAGTTGTTCAATTATTAACATGGGTAAATGGCTTTGATTTTAGGATAAAACAAATACTATCTACCTTCTGAATACTTATCTCTCTAAACCATAGCTTCCCAAGGTGCCCCTAACTGGGCGCTGAAGAGTCCTAGGCTATGGTAGGTGCTTCGGAAGCAATTGGGGGGCGTTGATGCTACCGCCCCCCTAAGAATCATCAGCTCCCACTGGGGGCGGTAGGGACCACTTTGGGAAACTATTTAAAAAAAATAAAACCTGCATTATTTGTACAAACTACACTACATATACGATATATTTTCTTTTCCTTATTATTTTTTGTGGTGGTGGGCGTTGAAATTTTTTTATCTTGCCTTAAGTGGGCGGTGAGCCAAAAAGTATGCTCTAAACTCTTATCGCGAAGTGAAAAGGATTGATTGTCATTGGTTAAGAACGCTTTTTGTGGTAAAATTATCGCAAAACTGAATAGCTATTTTCATTTAGTCGTTTTCAAATTGCTATGGCAAAAGTTTAAACTTAACCATAGAACTGCAGGTGTATTAGACCAGTCGGTCATTGAACTGTACGGTCCGTTATTACTTACCTCGAACGTGTCATTATATCTGAGCTAACCGACACTAGCTTAGATATCTAGCTCAGTGTTTAGGCCGAAAAATTGAACGTATTATTCGAGGTAGCTGCTCTATAATTAAGTACTGAAATAACCTATCATAATCCGATTAATCGAACATTATACAGTACAGTTGATGCTCTAAGATACCTAACCTTCTAACCGACCGTTTGGTTCTGAGTAGATAAATGCGAAGAAAAGTTTTAAACAAACTGAACCTTCTACTGTTACTAAAAAGCGGAAGTACTTACAGTTTTTTCGTAGGACTCTAATTTGCACAAATTCTTGATTGTAATATTATTAAATTTATTGAATATCACAATGTTCTACTATCATGATATTCATTTATTTTTTGTGAAATTATTCCACTAGTTTGTTATAATTGTTAATGCAAAGGTCAAAGAAAATAATTCATTAATAATATTACAATACCTTCAGCGACATCTCTAGTCAGCCACTAATAGTTGTAAAAACTTTCATAGATTTCTCATTCAAGTCGTTAAAAAACCAAAAGTAAAGATCTGCATCAAACACACAAAAATTCGTATGGTCTGGTGGGTCGTTCCGTAGCTCAGTTGAGAAAGCGTCAGCCACGGTATGGTGAATGTGCTGGTTCGAATCCAGCCGGATCGAAAATTTTTCATTGTGTCCGATCGTTATATGAATAATATGATAATTCCTAAGATAAGTCCTTGATTGTTTGCTAAATATGATTAATTTTGTCGGTATGTTCTGTGTTTATTTTCCAGTACATACAACTCACTTTAACGCAGCTAGGTAAGTTAGAATTAAAACTGTAATTCTACAGAAGCTAACTAGCTTCTATTCGCTGCAACTGCATTTCTTTTTCGGAACTCTTATTATTTCCCTTTATTTATATTCACTTCTCTTCTTCAGGCTACAATCACTCTCTACTGTGTTGACCTCCGCGTTCTTTCGCCATAACGCCACGTCCTTTTCAACCGTGGGCTATTTGCATCCAGTCTTTGCGTGCGTCACTAATGTCTACTGATGTTTATCTGCCTACTAGCTTGGCGAATATTGGTGTCTCTCGGCCATCTTTTTTATCACTAAACAACAAAGGCACAACTACCTACATTTCAATTTTAGGTCGTTGATTCCAAGTTACCCAATTTTAGTCCATTCCATTTCAAGCTTTGTTGATATACATTTCACAGAAATAACAATGCATAAAATATAGATAAGATTATTACAACGAAAAGTAAATTGCCGCATGAATATTCGAAGAAAGTAATATCGAACATAACGCAATTAGGTTTCTACGATTAGTATCATTAAACAGACTAACATTTTCGGGTCATGGCGGCATAAGATATAGGAACAATAGTCTAGAAACTAGGCACTTACAAACTTTCATTTTTATTTATTCTAAATAATAGGGCTGTTTAATAAGACTTCTTTGAGTAGAACGATAAGTTCTATATGCCTATAAGTAATATTTCGATTGAATAAAGAATTTTCTTCTCTAATCTCTATTACGAGAAAAAAAGCTAGTGTGAAACAGGTATCCTTAATTTTAATATAATTTTATTATAACATTAAAAACAACAGACTTCAGAAGTTTGCTTATCCACTTTCGTTGTGTTCGTTACCGCGGTCGCCTCAACGATAACTGAAACGCATATGGATGTCCTCGACAAAACAAATTATATGAACATATGAATAAATACAAGACAGTTGGCTGTACACTTTTAAGGATTTGCTTTCATCTGTCTGCAGTTTCCATAATTAGATCTGCTCTAGGTAATCATAACATTTTATTTTTATTGGAATTGCGTCTAAGTGTCATGTCTTGTACACATATTTTGTATCTGTTTGGGTTAAACGTAGTACAAAAGCACACTTTTGTTTTTTTGTTTTGTTTCCCTTCAAACATTTATTTTACTCGTTTTTTTAATCCGCTTTTTTTGTGAAAATTATTATTACTATTTTTTTTCTTCTTTACTTTCGCACTCCTCATAGATAGCTTAATTACTAGTCTGTGCTAATTTTAATCCATAAATTACATGTTACACAAACGTACGGTCTCACGTTCAAACCAACTTTGCACAGCATATACTGAACTCAGAATCCTCGCCACACATCTGTGACCATAGTTTTGTGTTTAGTTACTATTTATATTTTACATTTATCATTTGGCAAATACATAGACTTTGGAATTTCAATTTGAATTTATTGAAATCGGTTAACGGAAACTGGGTGAAATTCAATAAACCGGATTTATCCCCTAATTAGCCGCCCTTAGATGTCGAATATTTTCTTCAAATTTGAGTGAGATCACTAACTCCCTTTCCAACAAAAAAAAAATCATCGAAATCGGTTCATAAAAATTCAGAGTAATAGCGTAACATACACACACAAAATACAGTCGAATTGAGAAAAGAAAAACTCCTTTTTGAAAGTCGGTTGGGTGGGTTATATGCAATAAAATGCATTGACTTTTTTTTCACCAGATATCTGTTGAAAAAATGTCAATAGCTTGGATGTCGGCGACACAACGCTCAAGAAGCGGGGCCGGCGCTGGTGGAGTGTGACCGCGGTGACCGGCTGCACTAGCCAACCGTGACGTTTTGATCTCCATTTCTTTATACCCACTGTTGGTAGGCAAATAAACAACTACTTCTTTAATTAAATCACATAAAATCTTAAGTGCAATGACCTAAACAAAGACTGTTGCTAAAAAAATTTATCGTTGTAACATTTAAATTTATTGTTGTGTAGTAAGATTAGATTAGAAAAACGGCATTCAAAATTTCTTCCGAAAAATTTTTTTTTTCGGCTAAAGTTATTCAGCTCCATAAACGCTCAAGTGCCTATTTCAAAATTTGATTGCACCTTTTTATTACATCCTGTATGAACGGAGAGAACTAAACTACCTCCTTGTTGAATCCCCGAATAAAAAAGTCGTTAATGAGACCTACGAAAGCAAGAAGGGTGGTTTTTTCTGTATATCACTGGCATCAATATTTCACACGCTTCCGTGCAAATATAGACCTACAGACATATTATTAATATTTCATAGAGTTTCTTCAATAAGATTCCGATGAGGCGTCCTCTATACATCGATAATCCATTTCCATATATTTCCCTGCACTGAGTGCGAAAGCGTGAAATGCTAAACAGAATCGATTTGTTATAACTTGATTAGCAACTGTTTTTTTGGGATATTATCTTGGAAATAGTGATTGTTACAGTGCGTACTGTAGTGTACAAGGTGGAGAATATCTTTCGTCGTTACATCTAAAGATTTTCCCTATGCATTAGGCATGGTTAATAAAATTGTTGTTCTATTGTTTAGCCGACTTCAAAAAAGGAGAGGTTCTCAATTCGACTGTATGTTTTTTTTGTATGTATGTTACGCGATAACTCCGGTACTCATGAACCGATTTTCATGATTCTTTTTTTGGAGAGGGGGTACTTCCATAGTGGTTCCATTTCATTTTGAAGGAAATGGGACCACTGGGACATGGGATCACGCATGAAGATTCATTTTTATAAATAGCGCCTAAATTTTCTTAAGGAGCAATTATTTTAATGGTTGAGTTTGCTACTTTTCCAATTCAAGGCGTTTTTCTCTCAATATTCTTTGAGTAGTGAGAACCGATTTTTATTATCTTCAGTGTCAAGTCCTGTATAGTCACGAATTTAAGGATATTTATTTAATTATTAAAAAATTTATTATTTAATTCCACTTTCGAGGTCTGTTTTTTTTTGTACTCTGTACTGAGATTATTATAATAATATTCTAGATGGTTGTGAATCCCCATCAAAATCAACTCCAATTTACTATAAAGGTGAATAAAGATCTGAAGGACACTGCCATTGCGCCTGTCAGTCACCCTGAGACATAAGTTGACAAGTCTCAGCAGCACCCTTACCCTTCAAAACCGAAATGCAATGATGTTCACATTCCTGCTTAGAATAGGAGCTTGAAATAGGAAAGGTGGCACTACTTCCCTGGATGAACTCTTTCACAAGGAGCTCTACTATTACAAACTCACAAGGAGCTCTACTGCTGCAAAAGTCCATTCAGCTGGTAATAGTTCTCATGCCAACAAAGATCTTGATGTTGTTGGCTTTTTAATACCATTTTCATCCAACAGGCGTCTTCAAACTTATTAATTTAAATCTTATATCTGTGTTACAGTGACTATAGCTTCCTAAACGAAACAATGACGGTGGTCTCTCAAATTAACGATCGGTCTGAATGAATTTCAAATATTGTCGTACCAAAAATTCTGCTACTTAGAAATTAGAAACATATCAAAGACAAATCATGGCATAAATATAAACTTACACATTTAGAGCAGAAACCATGACAACACTTCAACAACAAAAGAAACAACCACATGACTCACTTCCATGTCGAAGTATTCTTATCTTATTGTAGCCGTTGAGATCTTTTCATTTCAAAAATCAAACATTAAATCTTAATAAGCGCTAGGAATTGCAATGACTCTTGTACCGCAATTAGCTTGAAGTAGAGACGGCATACCTTTCAATTAAGTATATTAATTTCACTCAGTAAAAAACCTAAGTGCTTTACTCAGCCAATGCAATTTCCCGCTAGCCTGGTTTGACATGAGTTCTCACTAGTTTGTACTTGTACAACTTTGTTACACTTACTGAACCCCAAGCAATCTTCAAACTTTCAATCTGCGTATTTTACTTAACTAGTTGAGAGTATGTAACTAGTAGATACCTACTTCTATGTTAATAATAGTAAAATCGTCTCTATACTAAAACAAAGTGAAAAAATTATATAAAGAAAAGAGAAGAGAAGAAATTATATAAAGCAAACAGCCTTCTCAAACACAGCAAAGTAACATCTGTTCTGTCCCCCTCCATAAAGCGTGGCTGCATCTGGACTTAGTCATAAACGACATGAATTCAACAGTATTGATTGAAAGAACATATCAAAAATAACAAATAAATTATCATGAATATGTAATCACAAAAAGCGATGGCAGCGTAATGGTTTCACCTACCGACTCTCACGAACAGACTGCGGGTTCTAATCCGGGCTCGCACCTCCTAAGTTTCTTGGAATTTATGTGTGAAATTTAATTTGAAATTTACCATGAGCTTTTCGGTGAAAGAAAACATCGTCATGGAACCTGAACGTCGAAGAAGGTTCATAACCCTCGGAAAACGTGTGAAGTCCCCAGCCCGCATTGGGCCAGGGTGGCAGACTATGGCCTAAACTAAACCGTTGTCTAAGAGGAGAACCGTGCCCAATGGTGGGACGTACAAATGGGTTGATGACTATCATGTATTCACATTACTTCCGCTACAAAACAATTTGTTTTTTTATAAAAGGAATTTTTTCTGAGTGTTTTTTCTGAGTGTTCGATCTTTGTATTAATAATTATAACAAACTAG